ATTTTGCCACCATTCGGCACTGCAATGGTTTGAAGGGCCTTGAAAGCACATCCATTGCATTCGACACATTCACTGCATTCAGCACAATGCACTTAGTTCGATAGCAAATGCATTGGACTCATTTGATATAACATCAGCATGTTATTAATATAACAAGTGCCCAAGTCGTACAACAAGCATCCATATTAAGATCAGTGGTTGAATTCTTGCCCATCAATGCCTACATAATGACACATACTTTGAACATGTAACAAAAGTAGCACAAGATAGTGAGATGTGATCCAAGGGGTTGTGACATCATTTGGGAATTATCAAAAGGGCTCCTAGGATTGCTGCCAGGGTGCCAATAGTATTTGTTCTACGACCAATGATGTTTTTGCTTTTAGCGTGTAGACTATAGGCAAAGTACCCATTGATCATGCCAATATTTCACCATACAAACATGGCCAATGGATGATGTAGGTGTTTCCACCTGATGACACAATCCTAACTATGGTCGACATGGATGAACTTGGGCACAATTGCCAACCGCCAAAAGTAGAAGAATCACATCCGCTACAATTAAGGAGCTTGATCGTGAAGTGACCAATTTATGTTGAAATTGGCAATACTTACAACAGTGCTCCTCCCTTTTGAGAGCAATATTTTCTCTTTCAAGACAAACCCATGCTACATGCAAAATACTCAAGAAAAAACGCAAGAGCCATACTTGCTCCATGTTTCTTGATGTTTTTGAGCTTTATGGCATCAATATTGCATTAAAAAGAAACTTCCCAGATAGATTCCCATTCTATTGTGGCGTGCTGCAAATACCCTGATAGAACTTTGTTGTGACTTTAGTGAATATGAGTTGGCATGAGAGATGTGTGAGCCTGGGACGTGGTGTCATTACAAAACGAGTTACGAATGATGTGTTGTGGCCTCGAGGATGTGCCGTGGCCCTAATAATGAACAACAACCATTCTGATGACAAGTTGTGACCGTAAACGAAGAGGCGATGACTAGGGATTGAAGCACATGCCATGAAGGTGACCTGAACCGTTGAGCTCTATGACCATGTCAATGAAAGATGTTGAGATGATAGAAGATGTGCCGGTTGATGTGTCGTGATGTGCCTATATTGATCAAAATGATCTCAAAATTGATCTCGAATCTCTCAATATTTGCTCAATACCAAAATATCAATAAAGCAAAGTTGATGTTTGTAAAATTTTGAAGAACTTTGTATGCCATATAGATTGTCAAAAACGACCAGATCTAGCCATAAATGAAGAATATGACGTCACAACTGCACTTAAAAAAGTACAATACAATGGTAGTATGCAAACAATTGGATCGATATAGTACCTGAAAAATCTTCAAATGTAGTCAGAAGTGGATCAACAGGAATGATGTATTGAAGAATTCGGTTCTCCTTATAAATGCCTCGGCTGGTGCTGTGCACGTGATCAACAATAACCATTCTGATAACAAGTTGTGACCGTAAACGAAGAGGTGATGACTGGGGATTGAAGCACATGCCATGAAGGTGACTTGCACCGTTGAGCTCTATGACCATGTCAGTGAAAGATGCTGAGATGATTGAAGTTGTGCCGGATGATGTGTTGAGCTACCAAAGTGTTGGACGATGTGTCGTGATCTTTTTTGATAATTTAAGTCACTGTGAGGAACTCTTGTGCCATTATGAAGAACCATGGTGTGCCTGATGATATGCTGCAGATGTGCCATGTAGCTTGTTGATGTCCCATGCCATTTGATGACAAGACGTGCCTTTTATGAGCTGTGATGATTTACATTTACGTTGGATGAGGCAACGACGCATGTAGCTTGAAGGAGGGGTATGCCAGATGGCTTTGAACAGTACATGAGCTAGGCTGAAGTACTAGGTGTGTTTCTTTACCTTTAATACCATTGGTGGGTGCCGTGGCACAACGTGATAGGCTTAGTCATGTCACTATGCAGTGCTGTGTTTGGAGGAAATGGAGAAGGTCGTTTTCTTGGGTGTTGAGTGACTATGGACCCGGAACCATGGTAGCTAGGGTAACAGTTGTGGTATAGGATTGGACGGGTTTGGTACTATACCCAATGGGCAATGGAATTTAGGAAACGAAACATGGTGTCTTTGAATGTGCTAAGTACTAGAGTTCGTTTCTGCGGGTTTGAAGTACTGAAGGAAACGGTGGTGAGAACGTGGCGACATGGAACTCATACTTAGGCACCCAGGAGCGTTTCCACGCTGACTTGTGCTGCAGGCCCTTGACGGGAGCTTTCGTATTTGAGTGAGTGGGTTGTGGTCGTTGCAAGTTCTCATGGGAACGGACCCAATGTTGGGACTATGTAAGGACGCACAACTTCCACTTGTAGTGAACGTGAACTTTGGGCCCACCTCGTTCTCTGAGTCTATTCGGGGATTGCGCCCTGACCCTATTAAATAGTGCCGCATTGAATATCGTCCATTATGGGTGCATTGATGCCAACGAGTACAATTCAGTTGGGCGTTTGATCAGCTTGGTGCATGACAAGTTCCCTGCTGGAAGATTCTCCATCCAAACGCCTTTCTTGCGGTGGTATGAGGCTCAACACCTCACTAGCGTGGGTGTGCCTTTCTTCTGGAATTCCGTGTCTTTGTTTCACCTTCAAGCGCGTCAGGTGTCTCATGCACGGTTTTCAACCCAACTACCAGGCATCTGCAGTCTCAAGAATGAGGACTTCGTGCTGATTGTGCCTTTGGGTTGCTAAAGCTTTCTGTGGTTGTGCATTGCAAATCTCTGATTGGTCCCTGTTGAACTTGGGTGTTGTATCATCCAGTCAGTCGCCACATGTTACACATGTGTCCTAGCTTGATGGGGGAGGGAGCGAGGACAACAATGAATTTATCAATGCACAAACTACATGGCTGTCTTCACATCTGTTTCGCAGTATCTCTCTGCATTTTTGAGACTTCTTAGTCCACTTGTGGGCTCATCTCCTTTTCGTTTGCTTTTCATTCACTTTTTACCACCCTCATTGACAGACGACAACCTTTCTTTTGCACTCCCCATGGCTCACCATTGGCCACCCGAACGCGTCGTCATTGAGCATGTTGGAAGTGCCCAGGTTTTGCTCTATTTCACGACTGTAACTTGTTTTGCGGATTTCATCAAGAGCGTTGGCTCAAGCGGGCTTCAAATTTCAGAGAACTGTACGACGCGGCTCTGTTGGCAGCGGGCGGGTCGCTCTGGCTGGGATCACGTTGGCAATCTTCCACTCTGGAACCCTCCATTCTGGACTCTCCCACGAGAATCCGAATCAATGCATATTACGTGATGCTGGAGGCCTCCCGCAATCGTCAGTGGCCCGATTCATGATTCGGGCCATGCTATCGCCATGATCACGGCGAACAACATCGGGGCCAGCGCCTCGCGTTCTGCCGCCCATCCTCGTCGCTCTATTGGCCGGACGAAGAGCGCATTCACACGCAACAACAGCAACAACAACAACAATAACAACAACAACGTCAACACACATGCATCCGGATAACGCCACCAACAACGTTGGTGTTAATCCACATGAACGACGCTGTGCGCGCCAAGGCTGTCCCGGCCGGCGCGTCCCACCCTCGTGCCGCTGCCGCCGGCTTGCCCCGCCGTTGCACGTGACCTGCCCGCAACCAGATCACGCCACCGACCAGTCCCAAGTCCGCCCCTTCCAACACTCCGTACGATAAACCCCTTCTCGTTCGCGCACCTCCACCCCCCACACAATGATACCCCCCCGCCAATGATGACAAGACCGCTGCGCACAACGTCGTTCAAGTACCACGGCACCGCACGGTCCCCCAGGATGTGTGATGCGGTGGTGTGATGCTTACTGCACCCACGCTTCCTCCAGCCCCTGGAGGGGGGGCACAAAACGGGTCCCCACGACCCACTTTCCCACACCCAGTCCCATCGACGCCAACACCCGCCCGCTGTTCGCCATTCCCGTCCCTTGCCTTTGACTCGCGGCCACGCGGACGACCAACCCGTCGGTCGGCGCCCCCAAGGTAACGACATCCCTGGCCGGGACTTGGCGACGCTCTTGCATTAATCAATCCTGCTGTGGCCGATTCCACCCCCTCCTTGGCCCGCCGACTGTCGCGCTGCCCTGGCTGAAAATTCGCTTCTGCGGCGACGGGCAGAAACATCTGCGGAGATCCGAGACGTGTCCATCCACGCTGCCGGGGATGAGCGCCAAATTAGTCTGGGCCCGTCTTGGGCAGCGCATCGCCGCTGCTCGCGCTCGCTTCCCACGGCCACGGTCGCCAGCGGTCGCCGCGGCCGGTGTCGAGATCTCAGCGCCGAGGTGGCAGCTGGGGATTGTACCCCCGGCGGCCGATGAGCCCCCCGCTAATTGTCTCCGGCGCCTGAGCGCCGGGATCTCCGTTTGGCGCGCCGATTGCCGCGAGGCCAGCGGCGAGGATGGGCGAATGTTTCGCTGCGGGGCCGAAGGGCCGGGCTTGTTGGCTTCAGGGCTACCTCGGGTGCTGCAGTTGAGTGTTGCGTCGGAAAGGAAGCGAAATTGGGAGTGATTGCCACTGGGCACTCCCTGTGGACTGCCCGAACGAAAGGCGCTTTGACAATGCTGGAGGCCGTCGCAGAGGGGAGGTGCACGGCGGGTGGCCCGTGGGATTGATCGCAGAAGAGAGCGAGGCCTGCCTCAGTCGCTTGACGCGCGCATGCGACAAAGGCCGTCGCCGTTGATGGCTGCTCTTGCCTGGCTCTCCCTTGTCCTTGACTTGGCTTTTGCTCGGCATTGGCATGGCTTGCCTCCCCTGGTCTTGCCTTGGCTCTGCATGGCTTGGCTCAGCTTGGCATGATTTAGCTTAGCCTGGCACCTGGATTCCGCTTGGCGCTCCTGGCCACGCATCGCTGGTTCTGATTTGTTGCGGCTGGCATGAATCGAGAGGGCCCCCCCCAGGGCGGGACTGACCCGCGGTGTCCTGTGCCGCCGCGCGCTTCAGGTAGGGCGGACGCCTCGGGATGCACGACCTGGAGAAGCCCCTGACCTCCTTGACGGACTACCGGCGACTGGGCAACTCGGGCCTGAGGGTTTCTCCGCTATGCCTGGTGAGCTGGCCTTTGAAGAATGTGCCCTTTGGAGGCCTTGAAATTCGAATTGGTCGGTTGAGAATCCCGTGGGACTGTGTGTGATATTTGTTACAAAGAGAGAAAGCAACAGGTCATACAAAGGGCAACCCCTCCTAAGCAAGTGTCTGCAAGGACAGTGGGTGAGCAGGGCTTGGGGGGGGAGGGCACCGTGAAAGGAGTGGAATGGTATGGTGCGTGGCTCTCTGTGTTGTATGTGCCATTCTCGCCGAGCTTTTGGGGGAAGGGCACCGTGAAAGGATTGGAATTGATTGGTGCGTGAATCTCTGTGTTGTGTGTGTCATTTTTACCGAGTGCGAAAGTGCCCGCATCAGGCCTACGTGTCCTCCCTCTGCCTGTTGTCTAGTTTGCATCCCCTTGACCCAAAATCAAACAGCCAAGAAGACGTGGACTGGAGCAGAAAGGCAGGGGTGGAAATGACATTGTCCCTGCTGCATCTCCACGAAATGCAATGCAGCATTGCGGCATGGTTTCCTTTATTCCAGAATCTTCAGCGCATGCAAGAGGCCAGGCCCCCTTGGACAGCGCTTGCTCAGAGAGAAGGGGGGGTTGGGGGGGTGGGGAGGGGGGAGTTGTGCTCATACCACAGTCTGCCTCCCTTCTGTCAAATGTGCTTCTTGATGACTAAATTTGCCCATGATGCTGTGGTGCTTGATGGAAGTTAGCATTCAACCATTCTTAAACTGCACTCAGCTAATGTTCCTTACATTCTGCACGCAGCCATATGGCATTCAAGTCGCACGTTCCGCAAGTGACTGACCAGCATATCAGAAGATCATCATGAAATGTGGAAAATGAAATGCAAATGAGCAACAGAGAAGACCATTGTCTGTGGGTCCATGCAGTGATGATCTCATTCCCACCTGCTCACTTTCTGTTGGGAACAGAGGGTACAAGAAACGTGTGTCCTGCACTTTCTGCTACCGAGTATCACTGATACTGGGTGCTTCCCTTCGATGGATCTGCTTCTCCTATTGTCCCGGCTTGGGGGGGAGGGGGGGTCAGGTGCACACTTGCCTCTTTGCAATACATGCAGTGCAAAGCTTGCAAGACAACATAAAACGTTACTCTCAGTACATACAAACTGTACAGGTTTGTTACATCGAAAACTTCACAGTGCATGTGGGCCCAATCGTCCCCTCATCAGGACAAAGAGCTGTGGACTTTGTGCCGCCATACAAGAAAGTGCAAGGGTGGAGCGATGTACACTACTTTGTTGCTTTCCTTTCTTTTCTGGCTGGGCCACCCACATTTCGAGGTGTGCCTTTGCTCTGCGGTAACTATTCCTCCTCAACCTGCCCCACACTCCACCACCACAACCAGGCACAACCCCCCTGGCCTGACTTATTGTTGCTGGGATGTGTTCCATTGTGTGCTGTGCATTTTGGGGATATTGGAACACCACTTGACACTCACAAGCACACACCGATTCTCGGACTTGAACTTGCAGTTGGATTACGGCAAACATATGCTGGACATATTCTGCATGGCCGCATGCCAGACATTGCCTTTCAGGCTCAAGGGCAGTGCATTGTGGTATGTAGACTAACGTTGTCAAAGGCTTTGCACCCCTGTCTTTGGACAGCTTCATGGCAGGACGTGATGCGTACGCCGATCCATTGTCTGTATTCCATTCCAAACACATGTTAGTATCCAGTGTTGTTTTTGCAAGTGTTACCTCACATTTAGGAGTCCAGGTGCCAATCCAACCTAGCAGGAGGGACATGGGCCTTCTCCTGCCTCTGATGAAGTTCCAAGGCGATGGTGAAGCCCAGAGCATTCTTGCGTCTAAATGAATGCTCAGCCTTAAATGTGAGAAGCAGTAGTTGTTGTTCAGAGTACAGGAATTCTCTTCTGTGGTGAGTTCTGTATTAGCAGATATCAGGGAGTTGCTGAACAGAACATGTTGTGTTCCAAATCGATTCAGTGCTTAAATTCTTGCACCAAGGTGTATGTGCCCATGGACAGTCCAGAGCAAGCTCAAACTTGTTGTGTGGCTGTTCAGGGCACGATGACATTTGGGACAAAGTGGGAGCGGCTGATGGGGCAATGCAGTCGGGACGCTGCTGAGGCCATGTTCAGCACATACGTTGACAATGGAGGTCTGAATGCATTTTGGCTGCCTTTGTGGATGTTTGATAAACAAGTGGCAGTGCAGTTGATGGATGGTGCAGGGCTCGCTTGGCAATGACCCAGGGTCAAGGATCTCAGCTGTGGCAAGACGTTTTAATGGCTGTCTAAATTTAAACGCCTCACTAAAACCTAATACCACGTGCATCGAGTTTGGTCTGCATGCTGCAGGCCCTCGGGGCTGTGCGCTGCACCTAGTTTCCACAATTTGCGCCTTTTTGCACTGCGGTTCTTGCATATACAGTCTCTGTGGAGAATAAGGAATGCGTCAAGCATCGTGTATGGCCACATTGTTGTTTCTCGTGTTAAAACTGTTGCATCACAGTCAAGGGTCCAGGTGCTGCCCTTGTCCCAACAGAAGAGAGGTGGCCTTGGGCCATGCCACAAGACAGCACGGAACAGTGCACAAGATGGATCATATGATTTTTTTGCGCATGTTCTCTAACGAGAACCTAGCGCTTTGTGGGCAGGTGGTATTGGGTTGGTGGGGCCTGTGGTTGTGGTTCTCCCCACTGGGAACTCACCAACTGGGTGACCTGTTAGCCAACCAATCCGTCCAGATGCTCCAAGGTGCCCAAAGTGCTCCCTGGAGTCTCTGTGCTCTTGCATCGCCTGTGACATGGTGCTTGCCGCAACAAGGAAGATATGGATACAGCATTCTGGGCATCCTTAATGGCTTTTTACCAGTTCCAAGAGCTTGCATCAATAAGATTATTTTGGAGCAGAAGAGAACCCTTGGTGTTGCTAATCGCATGGGCCACCCTTTCAGGCAAAGGTCAGTTTCAGGGCCAAAGCATGTGGGCCACAGATGCACATACAATGTCAGTACAGTACAGTATACAATACAGCACTGTACAGTTTGGTAAACCACAGTGGCTGGCAGAGGGCCGAAGTGCCCAGATCTTGTATCCATTTCTGCTCCAAGGCTTCTTATGGCAGGGATGCCTGCCGTTGCCTTGAAGTTGCACGGGCCCTTCCAACAACTGCAGTTGATGGATCTCCTGCCCTTCATGTTGATGTGTGTTGCTGGCTTCCAGGCAACTTCATTGACACAGCGAACAAGTACCAAGAGGGTGAGACTGAAGAATGGCTGGGGGACTTCCTGGCAAGGCATGGAGGGCGGGACGAGCTGGTCATTGCATCTAAGTACTCGCTGCCCCTGCCCATGGGCAATGTCAACTTTGCTGGGAACCACAGGAAGAACATGTTCCAGGCCCTTGAGGCCTCTCTGAAACGGCTCCAGACGTCCTACATCGACGTGTACTATGGTGCGCCATGGGGAGGATTTGTTTTGGTTTGGGTCGCATGGTGTGGTTGTAGTGCTGAGGGGCGCACTGGTCACAGGAAGTTTCTCTGCTGGTCTTGGATCGTGAGGCAGCCATAGTTGTTTTATTGGAATTTACAAACGCCCCACTGTGCTTGGTGAATCGAACAGCTCTCATCCACGTCCGTCCTTCCTGTTTGCATGCACATGTCTGGCCAGGGCCAAACATGATGTCCATTCATTCGTGCACAGGGAGAATTATCTTCAGGGGTTCTTATTGCCGCACCTATTCTGGGGATCACCTCCCAAGATGTAGGGACACAGACCTTTCCAATGTCGATCTTGACACGGCATCTGCACAGATTAACGTCCCATTACCATGGCCTTATTTTTATGGTTATAATTGTTGCCATCATCACTTTTGCTACTCTGGCTAGTATTGTTGTCAGTCATCATTATCACTGGTCTTGCTTACAAAGATACCTTCCCTTGTGTGGCCCCCTCCAGTGCACTTCTGGGACCACAGCACACCTGAGGTGGAGATCATGCGCGGCCTCGACGACCTGGTGCGCAGCGGCAAGGTGATGTACGTCGGCATCTCTGACACACCTGCATGGGAGGTCGCACGCTGCAACACGATCGCCGAGCACTTCGGCTGGACACCCTTCATCTCGTATCAGGGCAGGCACAACATCGGCGATAGGAGCATGGAGAGGGAGATCATACCCATGTGCAGGAAGCTGGGCCTGGGAGTATGCCCCTGGTCGGTGCTGGGCGCCGGCAAGTACACTGGCAGGTGGGTTGCTCAGTGCTCTGGCCCAACTGTGCACACTTGTTGTCAAGTTTGTTCCAATTTATTCTGGTGCTGTTCCTATTCTTTTATTCCGATCATGCTTGGCAAGGCTTGATCTCCCTTTGGGGGCACAGCAACGGCCGGACAGGAAAGACCACACAGCAGTGCCAGAAGGAAGGCGTTCACCCATTCAGAACCGTTGCACAGGTTTGAAAAGTTTCAGCGTTGTGAAGGTCTTGAGGGTTGTGGTGGTTTGCGCGTCACAAATCGATGAGAAGGTTCCAGATGCGTTTGGGAAGTGCTTTTGAGGCAAGGCTGCCTTTGGTGATGGGCTGTGGATTCTGTGTGAACAGGCACCAGAAGCCCGATTCCAAGCTGGCGGGTGCGAGCGGCCGCAAGGGGGTCAAGATGGGTGACAGAGATTACAACATCGTGGAAGAGGTGCTGGCCATATCAGAGGAAACCAAGAAGACGCCAACCCAGGTAACGTCATCTTCGTCTCTCCACGATTCTGGCCAAGTGTGCCCTTCATACAGTGTATGGTCCATTTGCTGGTTTTCTTTTAAGCAAGCCAATAAATGACAAACAGAAAAGCAACAAAATAGAATACAAAAAGTTGGCATGGGTATTAGTCATACCAACCTTTTTGTATCTTATTTCGTCGTTTTGTTCCTTGGGCCAAACCAGAGGTGTTTGCAAGCATCGAACGCACATCGTAGAGCAACCTGCGATGGCCTTAAGAGCATTCAAAACCGAACTCCCCTGGAAACCAACGACGGGTCGCATTTCGGTCCCCAGGTCGTCCTGAACTGGGAGCTCCAGCAGCCGGGCATCTGCGCGCCCATCCTGGGCCTGCGGAAGATGAGCCACCTCGTCGACAACCTCAAGGCCATGGAGTTCACGCTGTCGCCGGACCACATCGGCCGGCTGAACGACGTGGCCAAATTCGACCTGGGCTTCCCGCTGGACTTCATCGGCACCTCCTACGAGACATGCCCATGGGTCAACTGGCAGGTGCCGGACGCGGAGTGAGGGGCCCGGGGGCCCTCATCAAATTGATGCCAACAATGATCGGATCAATTATGTGTTAGATTTTGTTTGGTGTTAAAATGTGAAATCACGTTTGGGTGGCCGGGTGCCGCCCTTCTGAGCGAAGAGACGCGGGCCTCGAGCTGCTGGCAATGGGGTGCAGGGCGATGTGGACGTGGACATGTGTTTAGTCGTGCTGATTGGTGATCATATTTAGTCATGATGATCAATGTTTCGTCGTGATGATCGATGTTTAGTCGTGACGGGATGGGCGGGTGAGCTTGATCCGAGAGGCGGCCGCCACTCGTTCGGTGTGGCGACGCCTCGCCCTGGCTGCAGCTGTGCGGAATGGCAGAGTGCTGAGGGGCCTTTTGACGCTTGCATTGCTTGTGCACCGGGGTAATGCAGTGGAGAGATTACTGGAGCGAAGCACCGGAGGGAAGTACTAGAGCGGTGGGGTTGGAGGGTGGGGTGGGGGTTTTGATATGTGAGGTGCGGCCGGGTTGGATACTGCTTGAGGAGGTGCTAGGCCACTGAGAACAGGAAAAAGGAAAGAACAGAAAGCTGACTGAAAGAATGCCGAAGAAACCTTAAAAAAAGCAAAAACAAAACAGGCCATCGCAGTCTTCTGGCCCAGGTGTGAATGCACCCAGCCACTGAGAAAGCAGCCGCAGGCGACGCGCCAAACATGGATGATGCACCGTCCAATTTAAATCAAATTCGAGTCGACAATTGAAGCTGACCTTAATTCAATGCATGAATTTAGCTTCCCACGCCCGTGGAGCGGACGTGGGAGGAGGGCTCTTTGGTACTTTGAGTTTTCCTGGCCCAACGGGCCCAACGGGCCTGTACTGTTCTGACTCGCGGCCTCCAAAGACTTGGGGTCTGAACGCGCATTGCGGGCTTAGCAGATGTCAGAAGAATCGGGAAATTAACGAAGTGAGGGGATCGAGCAAACTTTTAGGAATGGGATGTCTGCAAATAGGGAGGGATGGATCCCGTTAGGCAGGCCACCTTGGTTACCGCGCCTGGACACGCCGCACACCTTCACAGGAGGAACCTAACCTAACGTGGTCAACTCAGTGTATATAGGAGAGCTCACCCGCCCATGAGGCGGTGCATTGTTTAACGTCAATTATCTCGGTTTGAATCGCTCAGGCCGTTGGCCTCCCCTGGTAACAGGAACCGGAAGCTTCTGCGAGGGCTTTCCACAGTACTGTGGCACAGAAATTGACATTTTGAGTTTGCCAAAAGAAGAAATCAGCGCACGGGTGGGCGGGTGCACCTATCCATGCACAAAATCTCCAGATGCTGCATCCACAGTTAGTCTCCGTCTCCACAACGGAACTAAAACAAACGTCAATACGCTAATGAGAAAATGGTAAAATGTAATAACAGAAAATACATGGAAAATAGTCGGAGAATCGCTTCCACCAGAGAGGCCCTAGCACGTGGGCCAGCGTATCTGGATGCGGCCAAGGGGGGACCGCACCAACATAATGTTTACATTACTATGCATTACCTCTAATGCATGTGTTACACCTGAGTGCACATTGTGGTTGTGTGTTGCTGGCCTGTAATGCCAAACCTGTGGAACCAGTTGCCAACTAAATGACCTCGTCATAGGATGCCAGTTTGGTGGCCTTGCTGCAGCGCTTTGAGGTACCTCCTTGACCGCCGATTGGAGGCAAGTGGCATAGGGTTTGGGGGGGGGAAGGGTCAAGTTTTTTGAAAATTCTGTTTGTGTCGATCGACCCAACGGGTCGATTGCCTTTCACTTGAGAAAGGTGTGCAAATGTCTTTGGGGCGGGCTCCTTGGAGCACAACTTTGGCACTCGGTCTCGTTCAGAAGAGAGTGGTTGTGGGTGGGTGGTCTTGGGATTAGCATGCTAGGCTTGCCAGGTTTGCAAGTCTCTGCAATTTGGCACACGAACTGCGGCAAAAGTGTGTGCACATGTGCACCCTCGAGCGAGCATGGTTGCATGAGCAAGGTGTATTTTATCACTGCCTTGTAAAGGTTCCAAAGCCCAACTTTCTGGTCTGAATCGTGTTTCCCGACCCTGGCATAGCACCTCGCAACATGCCGCACGCATCTCCCTGGGTCTAGGGGGTTTCTTGCCACTCGCACAGATGAAAACCGAAGCAGCAGCTGCGCAGCTGGCCGAACAGGCCGTGCGGCCCGTTGAAAAGCGCATCGTCACCAAAACGCATTGAAGAAAAGCACTATGTGACCTGTGATAAGGTCGACGCACAACCGCATACGATTCTTTGCCGTAGAGGCTCATGGTGCCATGAATCACGGCGCCGTGGCACGCTAGAATGCACCAAAAGAAGCGTACAGCTGCGCAAAGCAGTGCGCTGCCCAGCGATCGTGCCGTAATGTAATTGTGCTGGGCGGACATACAAAAATATCTAAAGGAATGTGCGCTGAGCGATAGTGGTGGTACACCATCCATGTTGACGCACGGCAGGGTGCTGGTTCCTTCAGCACCGTATCGCTGCCTACGGTTTACGAAAACGCGTTCCTGCTCCATCATCGTAAAATGGGCGGCTCACGCGAAATGTACGGTGTTAAATTAGGTTCCGTGAGCAAAAAACGGATTGACAAATTCGCGCCGGGCTTCCGCCAGCGAGCGAACACCACCCCACCAGTGGTGGGCCATGTTGCGACCTGCCAGAAGATGCAGGCATGATGGAAGCCACAATCGGAGTAGACTTGGGTAATCTGTGTATCAAACGGTGAAAGGGACTGATTCAAAGCATTATCAAATGGTAGTACTCCGCGCGCTCTTACTTGGAGAACACATCAGCATCTTTTGATGGTACTCGATGTAAATTAACCTGGCTGTGATTGGACTCTGGATTTGGCGAACACCTCACAGTAATCACAGTAATACCAGTAAGTTTTCACTCCTTCCTCCGGACATGATGCCTCTCACATGACTCCACCTGACAGCAAGAGCAACGTTCCACCCACTTCCATCTTTGGGCAGTACATCCATGACCCGCAGGGCTGGATCAGGTCCCCGGATCATTGTGACACCCTCCCGGAAGCACCCACGGCAGATCGCCGCCTTGCGCAGTACCAGCGCCCATGAATCGACACCATGCCATGCTCGGTCATACACATCAGAGCATGTTCCTGCTCTTGACACGAGCGGCCTCTCACGACGAATTCAGCGCTTAGTAATTCCAACCACGCCGTCACCGACACCTCCCGCGCTCGTCGTCGACACACGCACGGCTCTGGCAGGGTGGACCATCAAACCTGCATGCGTACTCCAGCTTCCCGCGATTACGAAATCGGGAATCGGAATCCCTCCCACGCAGAATCGGCGATACCCCATCATGATAGGCACGCATCACCGTCTTCCACGCAACCCCCATGTCCACAACCGGTCTGACACGGGTAAGGCGAGGACCCGCGCAAGACCGATCGAGAGATTCCGCATCCCGACACTGCAACCCGAGAATCGACCCATGTCCGCGGGACATGGAGCCAATGATCCCCCCCTCTCAGTCAGCCCTGCCCGACAAACAACGCCACGCAGTCGCACACCTCCTCAGAGTCGCAACAGGTGAAAAGCGTGCTCCAGGGTCGGGCAGAGATGGGAGATACACCAGCAGCCGAACGAATCCAGGTCTTACAACCCCCAGGACTTGTCCGACTTCGATTCTGCCCCCTGGGGTGGACAGACCGGATTTATAGTATCCCAGGTCGCAACATGCCGCGGACCTGTATTGTAACATCGTCCTAGTCCGTCCCTTTGTCCGTGCTGTCATTCAGGCACAACATGTTGAAGACAATTACTAAGTCACTTCAGTCCCAAATCAGTCACAATCAGTTACCAAGATCATCCTTGTGGCATGCCCAGGCCATACTTGTGCCATGCCGGCGGCATGCCACAAGTCCTGCGTTCCAGCCCTCAAAGTGGGATGTCGTGCCGTCATGCCGTCAGTTCATCCTCGTTGTCACATCCCAAGATCCCAGCCGCACCTGTCCCTCCCTGTCCGTCTTGATTGGCTCCCCTCGTTGGACACGAAGATTCCTCTCAGCCTTGGAACGATGTACAACCAGGTTCCCGTCGATCACCTTGTCAGCCTCGGGATCCCTGGTATTGCTTCCAGTGCCATGTCCCCCTCGCAGCAAGGCGCTGCCAGCCTCCGGCCATGCAGCGATCGCAGTTTGCCAGAACGCCAACGGATAGACCTTCGCGATCGTCATGGCCTCCTAGTACTTTCCCAGAAAAAACCAAATTGTCGTAGTGACAAGGCAGGCCTCAGTGAGAGCGATCGTTCCCACAACGTGCCCAAAATACAAGGCCCAGTGATGCTCGAAACTGGACGGCAGCCTTGTCCGAGCTTGATGACAGACCCTGGAGTATCTGATGTATTACTGATCGAAGATGACATGACAATGCCTGTCTGCCTGATTGGAATCCTCAAGAATATCCGTAGGATGAATGTCCTAGACGATGTCCCCTTTCTGACGTTGTTTACTCATACCATGGGCGTGGCACCGGCACACCCAAAACATGGCGCCGGCACACCCAAACCATGGCTTTTCAACGACGTATAAATCCCCCAGAAAAGCACTTATTTATCTATCACTGGTGGCATACTCGGGCCATCCCAGCAGTGGGTAATCGCCGTGGTTATGCATAATCAGTCACCTTGAAAGCAAAAGTGGCCAGTAAATGCTGGTCATTTTGCGGTGGACTGAACAGCCACCACCAGCGGCCCGCACAGTGCGGCGCAGGAGCCACCTCAGGCCTGTACTAACCGCCACCTCAGTCCTGTACATTCCTCCAGATACCACTGTAGTACATTCCTTCACATACTGCTGTAGTACATTCCTGTGTGTGTACTCAATTGACTAATGTACTGTGTCAGCGCCGCCCGCTTTTTGTGCCCTTCCGCCTCCGCCTTAAACACCAAGGGCGGCCCCTTCCGCCGCCTGCCTGGGGGCGACTGCGCTGGACAGCGCGCCCAGGACCCCCCTTCCCCCCCGAGAATCCCCACGACACCTCAGAGAATCGCCCAACGTTAACTATCCGCATCCTCGGGGATCTTCAGGTCGTCTGACGGGCAGGCCGGCGCAGCCGCCGAATTTTCGATTCTTGGCGACCGGAGGCGATCAATCGAATCGGCCGCCCATCGGCGAGGCCTCAGCGATTTGTTGATGGAGCGAGGGGCGATGGGCCAGTGAGGGCGATGTGCGCGCTTTTGACAAAGATCCGGGTGCTGGCCGACGGGGCCCAGGATGCCGATGCCCGGCTGATGGCGGGATTGGGACTGGCGGAGGGCCTGTTGGGCGTGGACGCCGCGGCGATTGGGGCGGATGGGGGAAATGGCGGAGATCGGCGTTCTTTGGGGGCCGAGCGGTCGGAATCGATGCCGGATTCTGTGCGGATCGCCCGCATGGCGGCAGTGGGTGCTCGCGGGCGTGCCAGAGATCGGCGCAGAGAGGGGCCCGGGCGATTGGAAGGGATGTCGGAAGCGGTGCGCAGCGCGTGCGTGCGGGAGCTGGGCGCCGCGCTGCAAGATGCGATGTGGGGGATCGGAGGCAGCGGGGAGCGGTACGGCGAAGGATCGGGGCGCGGAGGCGCGGTGGCCAGCTCGAGCGCCGGGGGCGCGGTCGAAATGTCGAGAAGATTCTGTCCAAGGGAGGGGGCGGCGATGCAGGGCAGGGATTCGGGGCGCGGGCTTGCGGAAGCGGACTCGAGTGCGGGGGGGGAGATCGACGCGCCGAAAGAATTGTGCCAAGGGAAGGGGTTGGATGCGGGAGGCGGCGGGCCGAAACGCGGCGTGGGATGGGAGCGCGAGGCCATGGAGGCCAAGTCGAGTGCCGGGGACTCAGACCGAATGTCGAGAAAATTCCGTTCGGGGAAGGCGATGGGGGAGATGCCGAGAGAACTGTGCCTAAGGGAGGCGGGGATGGATCACAGGTGGTGGCGGCTGCTGGCGATCGTGGTGGGCAGCGGGCGGGGGGTGGCGGTGGATGCCGGATTGGCGGTGGCCGCCGCCGGCGCCTTGGCGCGAATGCGCGGTGCGGATTGCGAGGAGGGGCGGCGATTGGCCGATGGGATCCTGATGGCGCTGAGGGCGGTGAGGGAGGCGGGAGGCATGGCGGCGTTGGGAGGAACGGAAGAATGGGCGGAGATGCTTGGAGCAGGGCTAGCCGTGCTCAGCTGCGGATTTGTGACAGGCGATGACGGGGGTGGTGAGGAGATCCTGCAGCTTGGGAAGTTCTTGTTCGTGGAGGCGAGGGGCCGGCTGGAGGCGCTGGAGCGGCAGGGGCCGGTGCTGGCCGCCGTGGGCGGGAGTCTGTGTTTCGATGCGCTGCGCGTGGCGTCGAGAAGGGGAGTGCGCTCGGGGGTGGGGAGGGCGATCAGGGAATTCCTGGCGGGGGTGATCTTCCACCCCGCTCACCTGGGCGCCTGGGCGCGGGTGTGCCTGGAGGACTTTGGGGCTGGGAGCGGGGAGGGGGGCCCCCGGGCCGCCTCCCACAAGCGTGTGCGGGGATTCTTTCAGCAGATGGCGGATGCTGCGGCGGGGGAATTGGCAGAGGGGGGTGACGGGGAGCTGCAGGCGTGCGTGGCTGGGAGTTTGGGCTGGATGGTGGAATCTTTCACTGCGGCATGGGGGAGGGTGAACCCAGAGGGAAGGGGTGTGGAGGATGGCAAGGGTAGGCACGGGTCTTGGGCATCTGTGCCATTCTGCGTCTTCGCCAAGCTGGCAGCCGTAACTGTGCCTGTCCTGGTGAATGCTGCGAGCCCCAGTGCCGATACCGGATTGATGGATCCGCATGGTTGCAGAGACAGGGCCAGGAAGCGGAAGCGGGAGGAGGGCAAGGGGAAGGGGGGGAAGGGCATGCCATGGTGGGTGGCCAGCACCGCTCTGGCTGAGGGCCTGCAGGCGGTGAAGGCCACCGGGGCTTACAGACCCACGGATGATCCTGGTGGGCGGCAGAAACGGTTTCTGGAGGGGCTGGCTGGAGCGGTGCTGTCCCACTGCTCACCTGCGTGCCAGGCGCCAACTCCATTGAGCAAGCGGCCCCGAGGCCAGGATGTGATGCCAGAAGGGGCGCCGGCCGGTGGCACGGGGGATGCCATGGAGTGGTGCGCGGCGGTCAAAGCCATTCAGGCGCTGCTGGAATTGGAGTACAGGGTGGTGCAGCCTCATCTGGAGACTGTGTGGCTGGTGCTGTTTGGCGCGGCAGGAGTCACCGGCCAGGAAGGAGCTGTGCCGGCGGTCGTGTGCACCACTGCGGCAAAGCTGGTGGAGGTTTACTCCCACATCCGGCAGCTGGATGTGCTGCTGGATGCTGCTGCGACCTGCGTGAGGTGCCACAGGCAGGCGACGAGCATCAAGGTGCTGTGCTCCGAGGAGTTTGTGTCTGCCATCGCCGCCAGCGTGCGCAGTCTTCCTGTGGGCCAGACCAGCCGTTTTGTCCATTGGGTGGGCAGGGAGGTGAGGGAGCTGTCTGAAGCCCTGCCAGATCCTGTGCTGCTGGCCCTGGGTGAGGTGCTTGACTGCGTGTTGCAGAACCTGATGGTGGACCTGACGAATGCCATGCCTGTCGCCCTGGCGGCAAAGGCGGTGTTAATGACCAAACCCGTCAAGCACCACCTGGTGCACATGGTCGGCAGGCGCCACGCCTTTGGCGTCCGGCCCGTCCTTGCAACTGTGCTCCTTCGGCTGTACAGCTCAACGCTGCAGCTGCATGCGGCCTGCGTCCGCCAGTGCCCTGCTGTGCAGCCCTTGTCTGGCCAAGGCCTGGAGATCGACAACACAGATCGGTTGCGGTGTTCATATGGACCTGACCAGGAAAGCTACACTGGTGGCGAGTACTTCGAAGCAGCAGAGATTGGAGGCCCTCCTGGCAAGAGGTGCCCAACGCTGCTCAGCGTGGCCCAGGACCTCTTTACTGGCTTGGAGTCAGGCGTGTTTCAGGTGTTTGTGGACAACCCCGACTGGGGGTCGGTGTTGGCCTCGACGCTTGCCGGGTGCATCCTCCACAGGATGGCGGTGCTGAAGATGAGGGCCCTGCGTCTGGGCTGTGCCTGTCCAGAGGCAAACAAGGAAGGTGCTGGGGATGCCTTGGTGAGGGGGATTGACGGGAGTGCCAGGGGCACCATGGGACCAGGAACTTCTGAGGAGGCATCGGACAGTGGTGTTTCAAGCAATGGCAACGCTCTGGAGGAGGGAACCAGGTGGCTGCGGTGCAGTGATGGGCAGGACGCAGCAGACAGCAATGGCAGCGATCAGGGGGACGGCGTGGACACGGTGGAGGGAGTGCAAGAGGAGTCCTGGTTGGGCGGCTTGGATAGCAGCCGCCTGCCTGGTGCGCCGTCCGTAGCTGGCCGTGACTCAGAAGCGTCATCGTCATCATCTTTCCTGTCTGAGGGATCGAGCGATGGTCTGAGCTCAATTGACATGGCTGAAGCGCAGTCTCCATTCAGCGAGGTGCACGATGCTTGTGAGGAATGGAACCAGAATGCATGTGACGCCTGTTTGGACGAACTGGGGCAGCTTGGGTCGCTGCTGCTGCGTATCTCTCCTCGAGACCTCGATCTTTCGGCCCTGGCTGCGGTGGCGGAGCCCCGGGGGCCCGTCTTCTTTGGGCTCAGTGCAGGCCAGTCCATGTGCTGGACGTTCATGCACATGTGCGAGACATTTGAGGCATGGGCCGAGCACTGCCCGCCGGAAGGGAAGGTGCGCTTCGTGCAGCACGTGATGGCGATCTCGAGCGAGGGAGAGGCTGGAGACTGTTGGCCAGGTAGCATGCTGGGGTTTATGAGGAGGGCAGCGGACCACCTGTGGGCGAACCCCAGTGTGTACGAAGTGGCTGGCTATGACCTTGTGTGCCACGTCGCCTTTGTGAGGCGGGCTCTCGAGCACCTCAGCCGTCTGCCGGCACAGATCCAACAGGGCTGCGGCGGTGACCTGTCCCCCCTGCCTGGGGCTTTCTGTGGACAAGGTCCCCGGTCGCCTGGCCTGATGTACAGCGACTCCGTGGGGAAATGCAGCCCCCTGGATCTCAGCGTGCAGCTGTCTTGCCAGGTGAGCAAGCTGCTGGGCCTGAGGCAGAGCGTGGTCGCGGCAGAGGAGGCGGGCCAGGGGCACCCCATCTTCCTGGGCCGGGGTTTGGCAGCTGAGCACCCTGCAGCATCCGAGCTGAGGAGCCTCCAACGGCTGACCAGGCTCATGTGCATGTTCCCATCTGGCCACTTCAACACATGTAGCAAGGAGGCCATCCATGCAGCGCTCTTTTTGGGTAAAATGCTGGTGGAGTGCCTGCTGAACGCCATGGGGGCAAGCGGAGATGACGCCCGGGCGGGCGTTCATGCATCTGTCGTGGCCCGCATCGCGCAGTGCCTTGTGGCACTGTTCAGATGGCTTGCCTACCTCACCGCAGGTGGTCCAGATGCAGCTGGTGCCTTTTATGACACTGCGGGGGAGGCAGGCATGTTGTGGCTGCACCTGGCCTCTGACGTTGTCATTGCGTTGAGCAGCCTGCTCAGGGTGTACGGCCACAACTGCGATCTGGAGGTCGGCTCGAATGCAGTGGAGGGTGTCAGTGGGGTGGTGAGCAATGTGGCGGCTGGGTGGCTGATGGCAGGTGCCAGGGACGAATCGGAGTTGAGCGGCTCACAGGGGGGCTGCCTGATCGGTGTTCAGGATAGAGGGAGGGGGAAACAGGCAGGGGGTGGTGTTGTTCAGAGTGTGCTGGACATAATCGCTGCACAGGGGTGGGGCGACACGATGTCCGAGCAGGACGTCGCCGGGTGCTTCCTAGCTCGGGCGTCGCCGCACGTTGCGAACGCGTGCATGCTGCGCAGCTGCAGGGCATGGCTGGTCGACAGCGTGGCGATGGCGCTGTGCAGAGCGGTGCTGCATGCCACAGAAGTGGCTGGACGTGAATCTGGCAGTGGGATGTCCTGCCTCTCAGGCAGCGTGACGCCAGTGGGCCGGCTCAGCACAGATGGCCAAGTCAGGGCTGTGCTGGACTCGATCCAATCGTCGATGGGCGAGCTGGAAACAACCATCGTGGACCACTTCATGTCCCTCACTGAGCTTCTGAAATGCATCTCAGGATTCAAGGCTGGTGGCGCCGCCAAGCAAAGTAGCGGGGTCGGGACCAATGACCCTGGCCTTGCTGCCACCCACCAGGCGCTGCTGCATGCTGCGGCATGCCTCTGCAGTGCGATCTCGCAGCGTGTGGGTGTCCATGCACTGCAGCCCAGGCAGCCAGGCATCTCGCAACACAGCCTGCCGCCATGCCTGGCACTCTTGGGGCCCATCCTCAGCCAGGTGTCCAGCCTGCTGTTCGGCGGCCACTCGCCTCTCCAGCTCGACTGCCGGACAGCAACAGACCGCCTGGGAGGCCTCTGGACGCCCGGCGCACTGGCCAAGGTGATCGACCTGCTGCACTGTGCGGGAAGTGTGTTCCCACTGATCGAGCCCCCTCTGCCAGTTGACACGTTTGTGGACCTGGCCTGCATCCACCTCCTCCTCTTTGCAGGCCTGCCCCTGGACCCCAGCGGCCCTGATACCCTCAGGCAGACCTCCAACTCGCTGGGCGGCCCGGCGGCCATCGCCATCGATCCACCGCACGGCCCACAGCTCAGGCAGTCGATTGCAGATTCGCTGCAGCGGCTGGTTTCTGGTGGGGTCCCAGCTGAACATGTCACTTCCCTGGTGGAAGCACTCGAGCAGGGGATGCAGCATCCTGGGGAGCCTGCCCTCGCCTATGCTTGCCTGCAGGGCCTGCTGCTGTGCCTGGAGATCCGCACTGGCCCCAAGATCAAGCACCACATAGCGGCCAGGGCAGGGGGGCTGGCCCAGTCTGTGCTGTCCTGCATGACCCGCATGGCCATCACGACCACGGCATTCGACCCAGGTGGCGACGAGAGGGACAAGACCTTTCTGGCGGCGGCCCTCTGCGCGGGGCTGCGGTGCCTGGAGTCGATGATCGCCACGAGGAGCTTCGCGCTGCCAGCCCCGGTGGTGGCCCAGGCGGCCCGCCTTGGCCACGTGCTGCTCCAGCACTCCGGGGACGCTGGCACCCGCGCATTGGCTGGGACGATGCGATGGGACGGCAGGCGGGGCACCTGCCTGGCAGCGGCCTCCGCCAATGTGCTGACAGCGATCCTGCGCCACAGGCCCGGCCACTTGCCCCGCACGGGCCACCTGGTCCTGCAGAGCTTCCGCACGATCCTGGGCTTCCTGTGCGCTTGGGAGGCCGTCTGGTCTGATTCCCACAAGGCCTGCCAGCCGGCAGACAGGGGCACCACGTCCATTCATCAAGTCCCTTCCTCCCTCAGGCCCCTTCATCAGGTTCCTACATCCACCAGCCTCCAAAACTGCAATATGCCATGGACAAGGCAAAGTTGGGACTCGTCGGAAATGCAAGGCATTGGAGGGGAGCCCTCCACCGCGAGGGATAGATCCGAAGTCAGAGCGACCTCTGAAGCCAGAGCGATCCTGTCGCGCTGTGCGATCGCCCTCTCGGTGGTGGTCGAGGAGGTCGCCCGGGGTCGCAGGGGCACGCAGTGTGTCACAGTCCTGGCGGAGTACTTGACGGCCGTGGCAGAGGCGGGCGCCCCCGAGAAGAGGTCAGGTGGGGGTGGGGGTGCAGCAGGGCCATGGGGATGCAGCGGAGAGGCGGCTGGGGCTAAGAGGGGTGGGGTGCTGTGGGAGATGCGGGGCGCGGCGCTGGAGGTGTACAAAGTACTGGGCAGGGAGGAGCTGCAGCACCTGCACGTGGGGCTGCGGCAGGAGGGGGCCAGGAGGGCGCTGGCGGAGCTCAGGCGGGAGTACAGGAGGGGGCGCAGGTAAGATTTGTTGCAAAAACAAAAGAAACAGGAGAGAAACAGGACAGAAGCAGGTCACACAAGGGGCAGCCCCTTGTAAGCAAGTGTGTGCAAGACTGTTTTCCTTGTGGAAAGAGGGGGGTGGGAGGCCGAGCGGCGCATTGTGGCACCATTGGCTGGATGTTTCTTGGGGCCCAGGAGGCGGACTTGGGACGGGGCTTGGTACTTTGTGCATTGTTGAGTGCTTGGGAGGGGGACTTCACACTTTCCTCTCTGCCAGCTTCTCCTGGTGGGGCGGTGGGCGCCCAGCGCACTTGGGAACGCTGTGTTGGGGTGGCCACGTGGGGTACACGGGTGCCACAGACAAGTGTTGAGTCGAACTGAATCGAACTGAACAGAACAGAGGTCGGAGTTGTCATGATCGCCATGGGCTCGGCGTGGAGGACTTTCGCGGTGTCTGTGTGCCTGTCAGGCTCCGAGGTCTTTGCGATCATCACTTTCGTGGGGGGGTAATGGACGCAGCTTGCGGAGTTTGACTATAGCGGCTGGATCTGGCGGAGATGGGACGCATGCTTCTTGTGATGGCCGTGGCCGTGTTTTCTTGATCGTCGATCGTGTTTTCTTGATCTTGATCTTTTCTTGATCGCGGGGGACAGGCGCGCAGGTGGATTTTCGTGTTTCTTGTGGCCTTTGACGCACAAGAACTGTACATTACTTGACTAGTGCGTTGCGTTCATTTGATTGATTTTGGGCGGGTGGCACGTGGGGCGGTGACTGCACTGACGATCGAGAAGAACGACGTTGGTGACCCTTTAAATTATTAAAGCAAAATGCGCACTGTTGAGTCTTGAAAGAAAGCGAAGGGGGTGGGGGTGGGGGTGGGGTGGGTGGGGGGGACGACCAATTAGTCGCACCATTTATCACATGACACTTAGAGCGACGACGAATGGAGCCAGCGGTCACTCTCGGACACGTGGAGCTTGTGGTCACTCTTCCACAAATGGACCCGCTAGATGCATGCCCATTTGCCATCCTAGCGGGGACGAGGGCCAACGTGAAGGATGGCATCCACCCCCGCGATGGGACGCACCGTTGCATCACGCCTGCTGTCCAACATCGCCAGATTGGTGAAAGGACCAGCTTTGACACGTCTTTTATTCCATGCCAAGGTAGGATGCCGTTTCCTCATGTTCTGAACAGCGCATTCAAATTCGACCACTCTCTCTCTTATCAAATTCGAGCCCTGCTCGCTAATCCCAGCGACGCTCCCATGTCACCATGATCTCCCTGATCGCAACCATCTAGCCACGTGTTTTCTTCGTGCAACGTTCCAGGACGAGAGAACAAAACGCACATCCGAACATTGTCTGCCACCACGCTCCCACTCACCAGGCGGCCAACCCCTCGCCACCCAACTGGCCAAGCCCACTGCCGCACGCAATGCCCTGGAACGCCATCCCCAAACTACTGTCCTCTCAAGGTCCCAGCAGCCGCGACATCACAAAACTGCCATCACTGCCAAACTCGCAGGCCAGCGCCGCAAACACCCGTGGCGCCCCATCTCGCTCACACGTCCACACGCACACCATCGCCCACAGTCCCCGTGGGCGCCCGCCCCATCTGGTCCAAGCCAATTTCAACCCAAGCACTTCAGCAACCGCCGCTGCATCACCTTTCCGCATCATGCAAAAGAGTCTTCCGCGTCATGCTCACGAGGGGGTGCTCTTTGCATGCCCTGTCTCCTCTCTTGCGACCAACCTCGACCCACTCCAGCGCGACCCGTTCCTGTTCCCCGCTGTCACAAAACACCGCTCCATCGCTGCCTGGCCCGTTGCTCTTCCTTCTGGGTAGCGGGGTGACACATGGGCGGCCCTGGACGCGGCCATGGTACGTTCTGATGGGTCATGCACTGCGGGCATAGCACAGACGGTGACATGCACGTCTTGCCATAACACCATATGAAGGACGTCGTCGCCATCTTCTCCCTCTTTTCGACAAGACTCGCCTACCTCGCCGCGGCCACCCCCATGTCGTCGGCGTGCATCCTGGCCACGGAGCCCAGCAGCACGCGCCGCAGGCGCGCGCCGCCCGGGCCCTCCGGCCCACGCGGCACTGCCCGCAGCAGCGCCCAGACGTCCTGCCCGCCGAAGACGCCGCAGTCGCCCTCCAGCAGCGGCACTGCGCGGTGCAGCACCGCCAGCCGCAGATCTTCGGGACACGCACCCGGCTCCAACATTCCCAGGATCGCCGATTTGGCTGCGGCGCGCAGAGATTCCATGTCGGGCCCCTGGGTCCCATTCGTGTTGGGACCTTGTTGCCCGTGTGTGGTCGGGCCTTGGGGACCGAGAGTGTTGGGCGCCTGGGGCCCAGCCAGGGCGTGGGAGAGGGCGGAGAGGGCGGCCTGGAACTTGGCGTAGCGGTGGAGGAAGGCAAGGGGGGGGAGGGAGGGGAAGGCGGCAGCCATGGCCTCGAAGGCAGGCGAGAGGGTCAGGAGCTCGGGGATGGGGTCCAGGGCGACCTGCGTGGGCAATGGGGGAGTGAGAGGCACAGCAGCGGGGAGAGCGACAGTAATGACAGCCACAGCAATGAGAACAGCAGGATAAGCGATAACATCAGCGACAATAGCGACAACACTGAACATGGTGATAACAACAAAAACAGCAGCAACAGACAAGGCAACAACAGCTGCAAGAAGAGGAGCAACAGTAAAATAGAAAGCGGTAAGAATAGAAGCTTTGTGTTTGTCTAACATTGTCGATATCAATAATAGCCTGTCCACATCTACGTTAGCGCATCTACCTACAGCCACCAACAACATTCATGTCAGCAAATCGCAATATTACTGTCACTAAATCCACAGTAACAATATCAGCACATACGCAGCTAATATCTGCATCCACAGTGCGGCATTTCCATTCTGCGCCAGGGCCCTCACGTCAAAGTGCTTGGCGCCCTCCCGCAGCACCTCCTGCACCTCCCCCGCTACACCGTCCATGAACCACTCCACGAGCCGCCGGTTGCCGCCCGCCAGAAGCCACCGGAGGCCGCTGCCATACAGACCCTCGCACAGCTGCTTGATGCCCAGCGAGGCGCACAGGTTGCGGCGGCTCCAGGCCAGGCCGAGCCGATCGCAGATGCTGACAGCAGTGGGGATGTCGGGGTCGCCGATCTTCACCTGGACACAGAATCAGAAAACACGCCTTCAGGTGAAGATGGCACGCCAAGCACTGCTGGTAGCATGACTGCTGTAATAAAGTGCTAAGTCGATGTTCTGTAATGAAGTACTAAGCCTTGAAGGACTTGTTTCTTGAGAGAGCGTTAAGCATGATTTCAGGACAAGATGGCACACCAAGCATAAAGCAACTCAGCAAATACAAGCACACCAGCTGATATACTTTATACTGTGTGCATACTTTGTAAACCAAGTATAAAGTACCAAATAAAGTGCTGTAAGTACTATTATGCACTAGGTCTTCAAGCACCTTTCTTGAGAGTGTGTCGAGAGCGCGAGGTCTGGATTCATTGGATTCCTAGTAGGAGCGAAAATGCACTGAAGTTGGAATAGTGGTGAATTCTTGTGCAGTGGGGATACAGGATGCGATCGCCGAATCGGAATTGCACATGTTGCTGCAGCCTCAGGCGGGTCAAGCGGATCCAGGTACTGTCCGGCGTTGTGGATACCAGGATGGTGGATCCTGGCCTGGGTCAGATCAAATGTGGCGCTGTACAGCTCAAGTACAAAGCAAATTACAAATGCCAATAATGCAAGCAGACAAAAAAAACATGTAGCAATAACACAAAAATACAGAACGCAACTTGCGGAAAGGAATGTGCACATCGTGAAGCAGAATTGCAGTAGCACAGGGTGCTGCCACCCCAGGCGGGGCCCAACCAACCCAGCTCAGTGTCCCTCTCAGCAGCGAGAGAACATCCACCAGCTGCATTGCAGCACAGCGCGCATCCCAAACCTACACAAACTGCAACACCCACTCCCCCGATCCGAAACAAAACCCACTCTCTTTTCATCCATTTTTCCACATCCCTCCACTCACCCTCCCTCGCCCTCCCCACCACCTTAGCATTGCGTACTCATCGTTTTGCATAGGAGTCTCCACGCCATTTTTTCACAGCATGGAAAAGAGCCTTGCGACACTTGCTCAGGAGGGGTTGCCTTTGTGTGACCTGTTTCTTTCCACAAATCTTCAAATCTTACCCTTCTGCTGTCACGGCATGGAAAGGTTCTCCCACACGCTTGCTTGCCATAGTACATTGAACCCTTCTGCATACTAACGTAACGCTTGGCCATTTTCTTTGGAGAAAACCATAAAATAAGCAATGCTCATCCAACAAAAATCGGGCGACGTAAAAGAAATAAAAGCAGCTCTCTGGAAAAAATGTGGAGCAAAAGGCGCAACAGTAAAGCTGTTTGATGCAGAAGGGTTGAATGTACTATGGCAGTAGGGGGTGCCCTTCACTTGTCCCGTTTCTTTCCCTCTTTGTGAGAAACATTTCCCCACACCCCCACCCACCATCGCTGAGTCCATGACCCTCTCCGCGCCCCGCATCCCTGTGACCGGGCACTCCGTCAGGTACACCATCGCTGTGCGGTCTGCCACCGTCGACGGGCACAGCCCGGATGCGAACTCCAGGCAGGCATGCTCTGCCGCACTCAGCCCCAGGGCATCCTCCACCGCCTCCCACCTGCAGCCCATGAGGGCCTCCAGCAGGGTGCCCAGGTGGACACGGCACCAGGGGCCCAAGGGGGCTCTGGGGGACAGGACAGCCATCAGGGCGGCTGTGCCCTCGTTGGCACCCACGCACTGGATGGAAACAAGAATCTTTCATGTGATGCATGGCCTCTGATGTGTATGGCAAAACAAACTGCACGTAGCACATACTATATGTACTACATACATAATGCATGTAGCACCTATTATGTGCTGAGCAGGACGGGGTCACATGATGCTGTTTGGCAGGAGCATTCAGCATTTTGGGAGGAATGGTACGGGGCTTTGTACTTTGCGATTGACATTTGTGGAGCAAAGTGGAATAAGGATTCGTGGTGTAACGTCCTTTGTTGTGCCACTCTTTCCTGATAGGGTGTTGTATTTAAACTAGACTATATTCTAAATAGAACAGGGCATAACGCTCTGTTCCATCATTTTTCCTGAAAGGGTGTATTGGCAGGGCAGCGGCAGTGCGATGGTTCGAAGACACAAGCATGCAGTGCGTTTGTAGCAATGCACGCTGGGGTTGTTACTAAACCACTGCTAAAGTAAGCCGTAGTTCGGCAGCAGTAGCAGTAGTGGTACAGCAGTGAACGCAGCAATGCTTTTGAACAGTAGTTTGTTCAAAGAAAAGGATTGGTAGGGGCGTGCTTACCGATCAGAGATTTTCTAAGTCTGCCATGAAATTCAAGCGAACTCTATCGCATTCACGATGTGAAATTCATACAACTAACGAGTCGATTGCATTTCCACTCTTTCCCAAGCCATCCACCCCAACTGATCCATCTTCTAAAATGTCACCCAACTTTCTTAGTACTAACTACAACAATCACCATGACCATAGTAATCCTCACAAGAGTCACCACAACAGTGCCCACAACAGCAATCGGCAGGACAGCCATCCCATTCAAGGATGAAAACTCACCAAGAGCAACAACAAATAATACAAACATCAGAACAGAACCAAGAACGGCAACAACACAAGCCTACCCTCATGAATTCTTCCAGAAACGTCTCCGACTCCCAACGTGCCGCCCCGCCCTTCATCATGATCTGCGACGCGTCCACAACACCACACAGCCCATCCGCATCGAAGAAGGGGTATCGATGCAGCAGGCTCGCCACCACATATTGGTGCCAGCTGTCAGTGCAGCTCCTCAGTGCGTGGTCCTGCAGGCCCAAAGCAAAAAATGGTCATGCATGGCATTGTGCAGCTGGCTCAAGCATTGGATGCGCATGTGCTGCCTGCACCGCTAGAGTACTGGATGCACATAATACAAAACACAGAATAGAATGACAACAGCAATATTGAATTGAACAGTGCCATCTGCACTGCAATGACCATGTCAGTCTTGGCCTTGCTAAGGCAGCGCCGCCTAGCCATCGCCTCAAAGACGCAAGGGAACAGTACAGGTGGCCCATTACGGACACAAAAGTGTGCGCCAATGTGCTATTTGTATGTGCCACACACACCAGATGCGCCTTGGCGTCCACACACACACACCACCACCACCACCACCACACTTCAGCATTTTTTCAACCTCCTCAAGAGACCAGTGTCGCGCAAAGTGTGCACAATGGCTCCTCCTCATATTCAGTTTGACAAATTAGCTGATTCGCTAATTGACTGGTTTGGGCCTCTGCAGCGTGGCATACCTTTCCTGACACGAGCTCGAGGAAGAGCTCCAAGTACAGCGACACATCGGGCAGCTGGTGGCGCCAGGCTGGCAGATTGTTTCTTAGCGCCTCCTCCACCACACCCAGCCACCTGCCATGACAGTCTCCATCCACAAATATATGAGGATTGATATATAATTGGAATAATGGGATTGGCTTATAACACTAGTGGAAATGATTCACGTTGCCACCAACAGCTGTTGGTGGCAACACACCTGCACACCTGCCATGTTCTGCCTCCAGCGCCTCCAAGCCCTCCACCTCGAAGGACAGCGAGTCGCCCGCCAGCAGGGAGCAACCCGACATGAACGGCCGCCTCAGCATGATGTTGTTCACGATGGTGAGGGCAGCGTCCTGGGCAGCATCACACCATCAACGGTCCTTAAATGCATGCTTTTCATGAGCAAACGGCGACTATTCGTACGAGTAGCAGACTTTTCAGACGAACGGCAGTGTCCAAGGCAATGGCAATTCCTCAAGCAAATGGCACTTTCATTCTGCTTTTCAGCATTTCTGTCCTTCTCTCCTTTCTCCTGCCAGTGCAATGCAAGCCATTCTGCCCAACTTGCACAGTGGGCACAGAGCATGTGTTCGTCTTGTGCACAGTGCCCGGAGGGCAGTGTAGAGAGGTGCAGCCTGATGGCAGCAGGGCATTGGAAATCTTCCTAACAGACAGCACAACACAAAACCGCATTCTGATTTTCTTCCATTGCATATGCCCCGCAAGATCGTTGCCTTGCAGCCTCGATCTGTTGCACTGATGGTGCGGAACTGAAACTGTGCTGCCCAGTGGCTGGACACTGAGCATCAAGCACTGGTGCACTGATGGAATGAAAGCGCACCGCACGCCCCAGAACATTGTGTTGCCCAATAGCTGGGCGCTGGGTATCAAGCAGCAATTCAAGCAAACAGGTCAATTCACCTCAGCATCCTGTGTCTCCCACGCCGGGTGGCTACACAGCAGCTGCCTCGCCTGGGTCCACAGGCCCAGGGCCACCAGCCGCAGAAACCTCGTCCTGAGGGAACACAGTATGCTTTCAGGCTGCCACCACTGCAGCCTTGCTAATCTTTCAAACGTTCTTACATAATCTACAAACTTTACATTCCCCATGCTGTATCTTGTGTTATGTTTTCATGAATGTTGATCGCATCGAGAGTGCCCTTGCAGCTGGGAAGGGATAGCACACTTGCATTGTCAGTGCTTCCCCTACCATGCTCTTGAGTCGATATGATTACTACTCTTACTGGTTGCCACACATTACCATTCTCTGTACTTACTGCTGTTGTGCTGCTACTTGTCACCATTGTTAGCATTATCTTCATTTCTGCAGTGAGAGGAGCACTTGGGTTTGGGGATGGAGGACTGCAGGCAGGGGGATTAGGTATACTCTTCTTTCATCACATCCGCCAATGGCTCAGCAATTGCACCAAACAGGAGTTGCCCAAACACCTACAATGCAACAGGCATCAGCAGAATCTACATTTGCTCCTCTGCCTAGTCATCGATGCCAAAGGAAGCACATCTGCCACGAGTACACACCCACAATATGCCTTGGTCCAGCTTCCAACTGCGATCCAATCCTTTCAAAATGCTCATTTGTTAATTGCCAACTTTGATTTGGTCACATCATCACTGCAAACCACAGTAAAGTACATTTACTTTTCTGTCTGTGAGCTCGCACTCAATAGATGGACAACAGACAGTTACTGCTGAACGCCGGAAGGCATTTTCTTGATACCACAACCTCACATCCATTTCAGCGAAACAGGACATGAATTTTGGCATCCTTGATGACTAAACAACTCTTGGCCCAAGAGAGCGGGCCCACTCTCTTGGTGGTTCAGCAGTGCAAGCCATACTGCGGCAGCGAATCTGGAAGATGGCCTTGACAACAAGCCCTTTTCCTTTTCCAGAACAAAGGAAGCTTTTCCCGTCACTCTTGGTATCAGAAATTGAGAGCTCCTGGTTGTTGATTCATTGGTAATCACTAGGCTTAACGATCTTCAATTTGTTCATAATTATAATCATATCTGCTTATAACTAAAATTGGGTTATCAATGAGGCAGCCTGCAATGTGCACACATTGGCTCCCAAGCGTGGCAACGAGATTGTGCACACAACCAATCACATCGTGCACAACAATAAGGACAAGCACATTACAACACAAGACAATAGGGCACGAGCCAAGTCCTTCTGACGACCGCTGTGCTCCTGGCATAGTACTTTGGGATATTGTGGCCCTTGTGCTTTGCACTGCAAAGGTCCAGTACTTGAAGTGTTGTTGCGCTAATATTCTTTTTATTCTGTGATGAAAATGGTCCAGCGCATCAGAAGTGAGAGCATTGGCATGTTCTTCCAGCAACCTGTTGAAAGTTGTTCACAGCACCTCTCCTCTCCTCTCAACGATAATAGGAATAAAAATAACAATAGTAGTGACATCAATGATGATGATAAGAATAACACCAATAGTGATGGCAAAATTAACAATGACAATTATAGTAACAACAGAGCAAATTATACCGAGAATTTGCCTCACCAAAATTCGCGATCCTCCTCGTCGCTGTTGCCTCCCTTGCTTCGGGTCCCCTTCACGTCGCCGTTCGACAGAAGTCCTGGCGGCTTGCCACCAAAGAGCCGACAGTGTCGCGTGTACCATGCAACCAAGGCCTGCGCCCCAAACCCAATACAGTGGTATGCTTCAGATCTAAAGCAGTAGAATTAGAATGATGCAGATGCAAATTCAATTTCTGAAAGTTCAAACCCATTTACAGCATCCTTGCCGATGCAGGATTACGAACAAGGGAATAGGAACTTTTAACTTCAGGTAAAGGGCATGTGTGCGGACATGCCTGTCGACCTGCGCAATATTGTCAAGGTGCGTTCAAACTCGTCAATGTATGTTCACATTCAATGCCATCATCAGTTATGATAGATTTGCTGTTTTCTTATTTAGAATAGGCGTTTATGATGCATGAAAATTGTTGGAAAAGGATAACAGATTTGCACACGCTGATTTATAATCAGATGGCCTCTGCCATCGTGTTTCACTGATACGGAATGTTTGCTCGGCAAGGATCATTTGTGGCATGCACCGGGTGCAACGTGGGCCACCAGGGTGCTTGTGGAGGCGTCCTACAGCCACCAACGCCCTTGTATTCCCAGAATCAGGATGCATGCGAAAGAAGCCCCACTGACGATTTAGCACCCTTTTTAACGATCGTTCACAGCCTGAGAGGGTATCCTCAAGGATGGAGGCACTGCCACCAGTGGCCTTCCAAACCGTGGCAAAGGAGGGGCAGAAGCATCAGTTGAGACGAACAGCCAAGTGGAGCGAAATGGACCATGATGGTGTAGCATTAGGCAGTCAAAAGATGCCCCAATAGACTCAACAGGGCATTCCTTCGCAAGTTACGACGATTTGCAAAGTTTTTGACCCGCTCTTTTCGCAATTTGGCATCATTTCCTACTTCTGTTCCAGTCTTGTTGCCGCTGACAACTTTTGTTCCTAATTGCAATTCAATATCGGACGGAAGCATCAAAATTAAGTAAATCACGCAGAAATTTCTAAAATTTGTGTGTCGCTACGTCCAGCACTGAAAAGCTGCGTTTTTGGTCGTTAAATTTACTGTTATCAACACTCCATGAAGGCGTCCATGCTCCACCAGAAATGTGGTGCAGGACTCAGAAAGAATGAAACTGAACCATAACAGCTAGGACAAAGAAACGACGCACATATGGAAAGAAGCCTTTTCGCCTGTGAAACGTTGTGAAGATGACCTCCATGAGCTCCAAGGCTGCCACCTCCGTCCGAGCATCGTCGTGCCCGCCAGGTTGCTCGGGGGCGCTGCAGGCGTCACAACAGCAAATTCTCAACAACAAGGTCTCAGCATATGTTAAACATCAACATAACATACAGGGATGTCTCAGCCAGAAGTCAAGCACCACTGACAAACGGAATGGTTGAAATGGGAAGGAGTAAATGAAGAAAATGCAATGAGCAACAAAGAGCAATTCTCCTTACATGAACTTATTCATTTGTTCATTTTAACTGTTGAATGTTTTCTGTTCACTGCTTAAGGAGACAAAGATATGGTAATATTAAAAAAGGGACGTTCTCCCCAACAGGGAAAATTGCACTTCTGGAGCAGCCCCACCTGGAGTCAAGGTGTGCCCTGGCATACCGGATGCATTCTTCAACGAATCTGTCGATGTCTTTTCCAGAGGGCCTCCCCATTCCTGACGAAAGGCCAGGATGGTTCAAGCAGAGTGAAAGAAAGAGAGGGCGCAAGGGCTGACATACAGGATGTGGTACATACAGTACAGTGCAGCCCATGTGGCATATCTAGTCCTACCTCGATTGCGTTCTTTACATGACAGATCAAAAGCCCTTCCACCAGATGTGTGTTGGGGCAGCATCTGAACAGCACTGCAGATACATTATTGTGCCGTGCAGTACTGCAAACAGATAACTGACAAACCCAAAAGCGAAAAAAAAAATCTGGATTGAAAGAAGTTGTGCTGACATCGAGCCAAAAATCTGTCAAAGTTGATGCTAAGTACAGTTTAAAAACAGGACATGGGGCAACAGGGAAGCCAGATCAGAGCATTGGGGGAGATGAGTGTGTCTGTGGATGTCTGTGTGTGTTGGGGGGTGGGGCGGGGGGTGGGGTGGGGTGGGGTGGGGGTGGGGGTGGGGGTGGGGGGGTCTCCTACCAGGCTGCAGGCTCCTCTTCAGTTTAGTGTACAGCTGTGACAAGGATACAAGGGACTTTCGGCAGTCCTCATCTGGAGCACCCCTGGATGGCCAGCACAACAAGTGCCTTGTGTCAAAAGCTAACACTTTGTAGTGAAACAAGATTCAGTTTCGAAGCCAAGGGCAGGTTTCAAACAGTGAGCACAGTTTGAGGATGGCGCAGGGGGGAATGAGTAGTTGATGACTCAGAGCAGTCAGCCCTGATTATTCCGATCAAGTCAGCACAATGTTGTTGGAATGCAGTGATCGCCTGCAGTGATCCGCTCAAGTCTCCACTGACGATTTTGAAACATCTGCTTTGGCCATTCACGTTTTTGCTTTCCCATTTGTGGCGGACATTTTGCAGACTGCCATTTGACATTGCAAATGTTGGCAGCCTTGGGTGGCATTTAAGGTGCCTGGGCCTACTTTTTCGTCAACTAATTACATCAATCCATGAATACGTTACATATGAATTTGCTGTCAACAATTGGCAAATGCAACCAATGGCACCTGCCTTTCGCGCGATTTCTCCATTCATATGGATCTCCATGTGTATATATCTGCAACCCTATATGTACTGATGATGCATTGATCCATTTGCACATATCAATTTTCTCCATTCGTATGCATTCATGCTTCTCAGGAATGGCTCCAGGCCATGGGGCAAGGATGGAGGGACACTGAGTGCATTCAAGAATGGTTTGTTTGGCCAAGGCAAGAGTTTCATACATTGGGTACCCCTCCCTTCAGCCAAAAAAGGTAACACGGGACTCACTGCTACTCCGCAAAAGTCAGCACAGATGCAACCAGAAACGCAAAATGACACTCGTTCCAGAATGATGACCTTACAGGCCACGCGCCCGCCATCGCCCTTGGCTTTGAGTCGCTTGTGTACTCATCCTTTTGCATAGGAGGCTCTATGTCATCTTTTTACAGCATGGAAAAGAGCCTCGCATGCACTTGCCTAGGAGAGGCGCCCATTGTGTGACATGTTTCTCTTTCTTTTCTGTAACAAATCTTGTCCGCCATCGCCTACAAAGCGCCCAAGGGCACCTCGCTGTCTTGACGAGGGCATTTTCAAACAAACGATCACGCCCCGATGGCCCGCAGCCATCCAAACGCCCACGCAATCAATCACCCGATCCCTCCCTCCCCGCCGCCTCCCCCGATTCCAATTCTGGACATTTCCGAGCTGCCCTTTCGCCCTTTCGCCACTTTCGCGATCGCGCCGCTCCCCGCGCCCCCACCAGCTGACCGTGGCCGTCGCCGTGGCGCCCCCGCCGCCGAACGCCGCCGCGGCCGACGACAGCGCGGCCGTCTTGATCTCCGCGCCCCGGCCCCACTCGAAGCTCAATGCGCATCCCGCCGGCACCGCCACCTCCACCACCTCCGCGCCCGCGTCCTGCCTGGCGCCATCCATCCGCGGATAGCCAGGGGACAAAAGGGGAAGGGAAAAGAGGACAGAAGGGGGAAATCGCTGGGCAAGAAAGGGGGAATTGTCGATCGGGATCCTGTTGTTGTTTTTTTCCCCGCCCGGTAGCTGAGCCTCCCCACCGCGAGATGCTGCTGATTGTTGGCCTGGGGATGGATGGCGGGGCGGGGCTGGGGACCCTGGGGCGTGGTCTGGGGGCGTGGTCTGGAGGCGCGGCGGGCGGAGGGCCGCCCTGCAGTTTTGCTGGCGGGGCTGCAGGTGGGAAGGGGGGTGGGGATGGTGCGATGGGCCAAATTGTTGGTCATTGGGCAACAAATTGTTGCAGAAATGAACAAACTGATGGCACACGCTGATGTGGCAATGACTGGTCCATCGTTGACAGATGCATGACTACACAGGGACATGCCTGTCCCGCGACCTGTCTGTTGCTCTGTACCCTCAGCTGTGTCTCCAAGCCCGTGGCCGTGCCTGCCTCCGACATAGTTCCACCCCAAACCTGGCGTATCAACGACGACGTTCGTGTGTGGTGTTGTACTGGGGGGGCTGACCCCCCACCCCCTCCAATCAAGTTTCTTTCGACATCACGCATCCGTCCCCTCTCGCCAACTGGCGAGGACACTTCTTTCAGGTATAATCAGCGACAAACGCTCCTTGAAAACAGGAATTGATGGATTTTGGGCCACTGTGTCGTGCATTGGATGTCAATGAAACAGTCATGGACACTGCTTCGCCAGGGGGAAACAGGGAGCTGACGGCTGCCTCCTTGCCTTGTTGTGCAAAAGCAAATGATTGAGTATGCCATTAGTTGGGACGATTGCATTCATGTATGACGTTTATCTAGGGGGCTGAGAACCCTGTAATGGGACCCGTTGCACAACTATAATCCGTTGCCGCGAGCTCCGGCCTGCATTTTTTTGACTTTTTTGTGTTATGTATTTTAAATAATAATATTATATAACACAAACAAAGTCGAAATCTGTTAGATTTCAAAGAACAAATCGCCGACACTGCTTCGCGCAGCCAAAATATGAAAGCTGACGGTTTCCTCGTTGCCTTGTTACGTAAAATGAACAGAAATACAAAAATGCCTTGTTATAAAACACCTTGCTATAAAATGCCCTGTTTTATGTAGTCTGCCTTGTTACATGAACTAATGGTGATGTGCTCTGGCCTGCAGCCCCCTGGGGGGCTGCTGCCCCTCTACCCTCCCCTCCTTCGCCAACGGGGCAGTTGCGCAGAAAAATGAAGAAGAAATGGGCTGGGGGGTGGGTGTTTTTTAACCCATTGTATGTTTTTTGGGCGGGGCTCGTCCAGTACTTTGGGCGCGTGAAAAACGGCGCGCATGTCTAGTACTTTATTGTGGCTGACCCGGGGGACGGTGGCGCGGCGTTGACCCTCGGAGGCGGCATGGGGCCCTGCCGGTGGTCGCCGGCGAAGGTGTGTGGCCGCCCGAGTGAAATTTCTGGGCGGGTCTCAATGGCCTGGCTGAAAACTCGCCGCGGGGCCCGGCTGCGGCGGTCCTGGCGGCCGTTGATACGGCGGGTCACAGCAGGAATACTGTTGTGTACGGCCTGAACCTCTGGAATCGATATCCATGTGGTGTGTAGAGAGCATGTGCACATGCACCACCCACGTGGGTGGTGTCGCAGAGGTTTCAAACTCGACCAGTGGCGCTGTGGCATCAGGAACGGCTGGTCCAAATTCGCGGCGCAAGGGGGGCGAAAATTGGATTGTAATTTGACTTTTTACTTTCAATCCATGTAATTTTTTCATTTGACTGACATCAAAGTTGGTCCCAATATGAGGCAAAATCAAGACGAAAACCTGCAAACACCCTTGCAGGTAGCGCGGACACAAGGCGCAATGCTGAGTGCATTTTAGTTCAGGACTGCGATGGTTCGATATTAAATGGAGTACTGAACACCATACTTAGACATATGACCTATGTTCTGGTATTTAGATACATTTGTGCTCAGCATCTTGGTATCGTACCCCTCCGCGCAAAGAGCGACATTTGTGGTGTGCGACTTTTAAAACAAACAGCGAAAATGCAGATGCGAAATTAGAGATTTGGGAAACATGAATGGTGGAAATGCGTTGGACATTGGTCCGGCCTGTAACGATCAGTACTTTGTGGCGATGGGCTGTGAAAACCACAAAGGCGCACTAATTCACCGTAGCTCACTGTGCCGATTGAAGGGAGGAGGGAATTTAGTGCACCTCCATGGTGGATATACTGAATGCATGGCGGTCGCGCGGCGGAGGTTGTTGATGATCTTAATCGGTGCAAAGCCCATCGAGCAGCATCAGCGCTGTTCTTCGACCGCACGTAGAGAGATGCCGTAAAAATTTTCAACATTTTCGCATCAAAAAAAAATCCATTGCGCTTTGCGTTCCACATTTTTGTTTCTCGACCGTTACTTTACCTTTTTGTTGCTGCTCCGCAAAAAAAATGGCCAAGCGTTGCGTTACTCTTTGGCAACTTTCCTCGGAAAAAAGACAAGCGCTACGTCACCATGCACAAGGGTTGAATACTATACGGGTACTATACGGGTACTATACGGGTACTATACGGGTTGAATACTATACGGTACGCGGTTGGGATTTGTTCACGTTTCAGCACTGCTCAAGGATTTCAGGAACGGCTTCGGCAATGAAGATTGGCTAAGTACAGATGGACCAAGTTTATATGCACAGGCGTGTGCGACATGGGCAACTTTTCCCAGCCTGCATTGGTAAGCACGTTGGTCCATTCACCGCGCAGGAGCCGGATCATCTGCGGTTCGCCACACAGCCTCGCTGTGCTGGCATCCACAAGGACACGGTGCGCAGCTCCCAGGATGCGCTTGTTTCTTCCGGGCCTCTCGTCAGCGGATGCTTGAGAAAAACGGTGAAATCGTGCTCTCGCAACTGCACCCACATTCCGCAACTTGCACGGTATGCCTGCAAGTTCCATCAATTCTACACTTCAAAGTTTGAAGTTCTAGTTGCACGAAGTCCCATTTACAGCAACAGGATACTTTTGAAATAAATTGCTCGTTTGTTCATTTCGTCTGTCCAAGTTTGTATTTGGTGTTTCGCCATTTGCGAGCGGTTCTTGTTATGTTTGTTGGGCTGCTTTGAATGTCGAATATTTGGAGCTGAGGTTGTGGCGGGGCGAGAGGCTGAAGAAGCCGCGGCACCTCGCCTCGATTTGGCATGGCGCGGCAGTCACGAGCCCGTGGTCTACGAGGCGATGATAGGGCCAATATTGCTTTGGAATTCGGGCTTGATCAAATTTTATGTAAACTTTGGTGCATTTGCAACCAGTCTTTGCAGCAGAAGACGAATTGCATTAAGACAGCTTTGCGCTCCTGGCTGTGGGCGTTCGTGTCATCTGTGTGGCTTAGAACAGGCAAGGGACTGTATACATGCTGTTATAGAACGAGGAGATGCTGCTCGCTCTGTCTCAAAGCTTCAATGCATCAAGAAAAAATTACGGAATGGAGCCGTAAATGCGGCTAAGCACAGAAGGCAAGGCACCCTCTGGTACTCATGGCAGAAGCATACACTAGGGGCCAAATGAGTGTCCAAACGTGTGCAAAGTTTAAGGGTTTAGGTTATTTCCGTGTTTTTAGCATGCATAATACTGACGAAATGCATATGTTTGTTGTCGCGAAATGTGTTATTTGCTTCCCATTTTGATAGTGACAAAGAACCGCGTCAATCCACGAAAACCTACAGAATCGCAGATGCGATTGTGGTTATTGCAGGTAATAGTGGTTAATAGATGGTGGTTAATACAGGCGGTATGGGTGGTGCCACTGTGAGGAAATTTGACCACTTTAGATCGAGCATCTGCTGGTTGGGTGCTGCTGCGTCCACGTTCGTCTTTTGGTTCAGGGAACTTGCTAGCCATGTGCTCGTGTTGACATTGGTTCATGTAACGTAGTAATGAAATTGATGGAGTGAACAAGAATTAAATGGATTCAAACCTGAGTCCATGGATGCGCTATCCCATTTAACATCAAACCCAGTAGAATGTTTCTACAAGGGATAAAGCAGTAGCATATGCACTCGCACTTCGCCGGGCATTCCTGGCTCGATATGCCCAAGGGCCACATCATATTTTTGAATAAATTTGCGCAACCCCAGTATTTTAAACAGACACCACCATGACTACGCTGGAGGACCAACGCCACACCCGACAGCTTTTGCCTGCTGCATATGTTTGGCACCTCTACTTCTACCCACTCTATTGACTTGCTCTCCTTCCACCGCTGACCACTCGTATCATCAATTCAAAAAACTGCAAGAGACGAAAAAGCGAGGTGGTAGGGAAAACATCCAGTAAAATATAGCATCAGTAGTGCTTCCATGAAAGCCGTTCCACGTGTCCTGGCATTCCCCGCCAATTCACGGCCTGGCGCGCCAGGCATTGTGTTCCGCGCCACCTGACATCTTTCTATCGAGCCCCACCAGCTCGACTCTTGCTCACTGCGCACGGCGAGGGCGCTGCGGCTGCGTCGGCAAACACGGGCGCTGGACTTCTGTCAGTTGGAGGGACACGCAGCGCTTAAAGCTCTGCAAGATGAAAACGCCCAGCTCCAGGTGACTTGCGATGACTACCCGACTATCCGCAGTCATGCTTTTAAAGTCAAGTGATCCTTCTAGGCATACCTAGAAGGCCCCTTCAAGCGAACGCGCTGATTCGTCCAGATGCCGCTCGTTGCTATAGAAACAAGAATCATTTCCAACGCACTGGAAATGCCAATTCTCATTAGCATATCACAAACATCCATACCTTGCATCTGCTTCTTTGCGGCCTTCGCTTGCATCAAATTGAGCACCAATATTCATAGGTGATTTGACGTATTCGCTGAAAACCAACATGCAAGGAATGGGCTTGTTTTTGACTCCCAAGGAAGCAATTTCTGAAGCCACCATGCGGCGGGAAGCCCTGAAGCTGAACTACAGGAGAATGGAAGAAAAGGAGAGGAACCTTGCCC